GTGGGTTTTTCATAGATGGATTTTAGGAACTTGAGGAATGTTCTCTATACTCTGAAGAGTTTTAATCAGGAAAGGATGCTATGTTCTGTCAAATCCTTTTTCTGCATCAATTGAGAGGACACACTCCTACTTGCAAGTACTGACCACAGTCCCTCATCACATTGACCATAGACACAGAAACATCCTCCAAAACATCAACCTATTGGGACACCTGGGTGGCTCAGTGGTTAAGCATCTGCCTTCGGCTCAAGTCATGATCCTGGAATCCAAGGATAGAGCCCTGAGTCAGGCACCCTGCTCTGTGGGGAGTCTGCTCCTCCCACTCCTGATGCCCACCCCCCACCTCCCTGCTCATAATTTCTCTCTCGGTCATTCTCTCTCCCTCTCTAAAATAAATAAATAAATGAAGGAATAAATAAATGAAGAAAGAAAGAAAGAAAGAAAATCTTTTTTTAAAAAATCAACCTATTAAACATAAAGCAAGTCGAAAATGTACAGAAGTATCATCACCTCTAAATTTCCAAATCTGAATATATAGCTCCACTATAGTGTAACAGTGGGTTGCTTCCATCTGGGGGTAAAAGCTCTTCATTAATACACAAAACAATATTTCCTTCCATAAAGTAGAACTGCAAGGCAAGCATATGATAGTAGGTACTGACGTTCTTGTTAGAGGAGAGATAAAGTGTAATTGAAAAAGATGTCACCCACGCTAAACAATTTGCATATGCATCTTGACAAACTCCATTAGGTTTCAGAGCCTGAGAATGCTTATCTCAGACTTCTTTTGGGGCTTGTTGTTCTCTCTGGGATCAAACCTTCCTTTTTGTTAGAAGCTGACACATGTTTGAAGATGAACATTTTATCAGCCTGTTTCCTGCCTGTGGAATTTGTAAGTCCAGAAATCTTTCATTTTCTTCCCTCTGTTATTAAATAAGATCTTTTGAAACTTGGAAACTGATAAGAACGTCTTAATGCAAGATTCCTGCTCACCTCTGAATACAGAAACTTATAGCTGAATTTTTAAAAACAAGGAGCACACTGAGGGGTGAAAGATGGGAAATGAGTAGGAGGAGACATCGTCTGAAAAGGGGGGTCTGTAGTGCTCATGATGGGAGGGTCTCTTCTTGCATGTTGCATAAATGGGGAAGGCAGAAAAGGAGTCT